CCCCAAAACCCCAAAACCCCAAAACCCCAAAACCCCTGAGGTTTTGGACAATATTGTAAATTAAATAAAATGGAAGGAGAAGATCAAGAGTATGAGTTTAGATATGGTGTTGAGGATTATGACCTCATATTTCCGAATGTTTATCAGAGTGGGTATGAAACTGCTCAGGATAAAGAAACCTTGCTTAACCTTGGTAAGCAACTTTGATAAACGTTAAGGAATCACTCATATATTATCTGTTGGAAATGAATTCGATGAGGACTTCCCAGACAAGTTTATTTATAAGGTAAGTATATCTTTACCAACTGTTCCTCGAAATTTCTATCAAATTTTATACTTAGAAAACTCCCTAAGCTTAGCTGTTATTTTTGCCATAAATTTTGACTAAGCATTCTAATAGAAAAGTAAATGACCGCTGCTAAATAGAATCATGCTCAGATTCCTCAAATGTTTGAATAATGGATTTTATTTGCTCATAGACTATAAACCTTACAACTTGAGAAAATACTTACAATTTTTGAGAAATAATAGATACAGCTACTCTGGAATTTGTCATCAAAACTCCATTAGAATCTATGCAAAAAATTGAAGGTTGGAGAGTGCATTCTCTACTCATTCAGAACTTTTCCAAAAATAAGGCGGTTTTTTGCCTATTCCATTAAAAGATTAACATACCGTGTGTCTTTCTTGGATAGTGGTTGCTTATATTTACCCATTTAATTCTAAAAGTTCCAGTGGCTTAACTCACTGACTATTATGCAGCCCGAGCTCTACCCTGTTAAGCCCATTTACTCTATAAAAATTGCTAAAATCGGGAAAACTTCTAGCTCATTTTTGGGATGTAGACCTGTGGACTTTACGATGACGAAGATGAGGACATAAAGCAATATTTTAGAGAAGGAATAGAGGTAACCAACACTTTTTAGGTTTAGTTTATTGAGCAATGTCTAAAGCAGAAAGGAACTGTCCTCGTACATTGAGTAGCTGGCGTTAGTAGATCAGGATCAATGATGACAGCTTATGCAATGTTTAGGGAGGGCTTTACCTTCCCAGAGGCCCTGGAATACGTCACTTCGAGGAGGAAAAAGGTCTATCCGAACCAAGGATTTAGAAAGCAGCTTGAAGAGTTTGAGAAGGAGCTTCAGTTTGAGAAATCTGATGAAAAGTTTCAATAATTTTTTAAATGATACACACTCAATTATTTTGAGCCTTTCTGGGGTTTTGGGGTTTTGGGGTTTTGGGGTTTTGGGGTTTTGGGG